TATTTTACAAAATATATATATATATATATATATATAATTAGGACTAGAAAAATACTTATTAAGCAGTGTTGATTATGTCTAATAGTTTTACAAATTTAGTTAATTTACGGAACTCTGGGCACGGGCCCCCTCCCTAAAAAACGGCTCTGCCAACATTGAATCAAGTTGAACTATCTGTTAAAAAACTATACCACCATAGAACAGCTGGGACTAATGGTATCAAGGCTGAACTATTTAATATCAATGAATCAGTATCACTTTAACAACTACATAGTATTATAAGACGGATCTGGATGTCAGAGTAGATGCTCGTGGAGTTGGAAAAGATATTGATTTACACTATCTTCAAAAAAGGCTACTAACTTCAGTGTAGCAATTAAATGGTAATCACTTTTAAATACTGTTTTTAAACTCTAATATCTCATTACAGCAATTAAAAAAATACACAGCATACCTCTTTGAAGAAGGTAACAGGGTATCTGCTACATTTTAGATTTTCAAATTCTTCCATGACTAATTTCAAGAATTTTCCATGACTAAACGAAGTTAGGAATTTTATTTTGACAGAGAAAATATTTTTTAAGCAGTGTTAATTACGTCCAACGGATTTAGAAATTTTGTTAATTTACGGAACTCTGGGCTCGGGCACACAGGGCCCAACCTTAAAAACAGCTCTGCCAACATTGAATCAAGTTGAACTATCTGTTAAAAAACTACACAACCATAGAACAGCTGGGACTGATAGTATCAAGGCTGAACTATTTAATACAGTACAGAACCCGTTATCCGGACATCAGAAAACCGGAAAACCAAAAAACCGGAACGAAATTCGATAAATTTTCCCGCCATATTTTAAAAAAAAAAATTTTTTTTCCTCATAAGATTTTAGGATTTTTCGTTGTTTTTTGAAAGATGTTTACCTTACCATCATTTTGGAAATAATCATTAGTGTATTACTCCATCGTTTTTTCTTTTCAAGATTATTTCCCAAAAAAATTTTTTTTTAGTTGGGTTTAGCAAAAAAAAAAAACTGCTTTTTGTAGCGATTCAGAAAACCGGAAAAATCAGTTATCCGGAATAGCGATGGTCCCGATCGTTCCGGATAATCGGTTCCCTACTGTATCAATGAACCAACATCACTTTAACAACTACTTAGTATTATAGGATGGATTTGGATGTCAGAGTAGATGTCCACGGAGTTTGAAAAGATATTGATTTACTCAACCTTCAAAAAATGTTACTAACTTCACAGTAGCAATTAAATTCAAATCACTTTCAAATACTGTTTTTAAAATCCTCTCGAATATCTTATTACAGCAATTAGAAAAATATACTGCATACCATTTTGAAGAAAGTAGGCAGTTGTAATGGCAGTGATCATTTTAAATTAATTACTGGATTCGTACAGGTAGCATCATTGTAGTTTTAAGCATATTTTTGGTTGTTGCAGATACATCTTAATTTGGATGTAATATAGTGATAATTCTCTCAGAGAAATGATTAAAATTGTTCAAGAAAAATTTAATTTATAAAGTAAATATTAGTCGATTAAAAATGGCCATATTTAAAATACATAAAGAAAAACCTCTTAAAGGGATTTTTAAAAAAGTGATTCTCCTCACATCGAGAATTAGGATTGATATTTTCTAACAGTTGGGACACCCCCAGTCGCCAAAAAAAGGAAATTGAAAATAAATGAATTGTTCCCAACGGACAGTTAGAAGCACGGGAAGAGATCCAAGGTTGGTGATTGGTCGAAAGATAACGCCAAAAATAAAGCCAATCCTCCATAATTAATATTAGATTTGAAAATACTTTGGCGAATGTGAATCGCCAACAAGACTGTGAGAATTGGTATAACCATGTAACTGAAACATATTTGTGGTAAGAAATAAAGAATAAAGAGTTATAGATTTGCGCTTTCAATTCAGTGAATTAATGAGTCTATATTAGTATTGAAATAAAAAGTTAGCCATTACATTCATTGTTAAGAAAAAAATAAAATATTTTATATTCTCTTTTTACAAAATGTAATAAAAATTAAATAATTGGTTTAGTTCATTTACAATTGTTTAAGAATGAGTAAAAAAAAAAAGTAAGTTTAAGAAATTAAAAGAAATTTCAAAAGCTAGGAAATATGTAATGCTTATTGTGGCATAACAGCAGTATATTTCTACTTTTGGAAAAGAATACCTACTTTGGCAATTCCACGCTCAACCGCTTCAACATAATTCTTGAAGATCTGATCTTCTGTCAAAGATTCGTTAATGACACCTTCCCCTTGCAGCTCAGCCATACTTTCAAATACCAAATAAGGACAGATGGCATCTGCACCATATCCCAAGAGGACACACATGTGATGAACTTCTCTGAAAATGTACCAAAACACATGAGAAACCAAAAGGAAGCTAGAAGCTTAATCAAAAGAATCAACTAATGAATGATATATTTACCTGGCTTCACCCGTTTCGAGAATCAATCCAACTTTCATTCGCTGAAGTTTGTTGATGAGGTAGTGATGAGTTGCTCCCAGTGCAAGTAACCCACTGAAAATGAAAAGTTGGAATTCATAAATCATGTGATTTTTAACAGATGAGATATATCGCACAATTGCGTAATGCTGGATATACTATATCACACAATAACAGATATGCAATATTATGCAAAAGTTTAAACAATGATCTTAAGTGCAATTAAGACGTAATTTTAACAATCTTCATGACTGTCCCTATTAGCCTGATGAATAGATATAAATTCTTTTCCAGCTGCTTTAAGAGAATACTTTACAGTTTTTAGCAAAAATTGAGGAATAATTCTCTAGCACACACATACAAAGAACATTGAATGTATTAAGCACTTTTAATGTGAATTATTTATAAAGACTTTATGAAAATAAGCACCTGACTGGTATGTAATCGCGTCCAGCTTTTCTGTCTGAAAGTATGACCAAGGAGTATCCCTGTTCAGCGGCAGCACATGCTTCTTCACGTATCTTGTTCAGAGCTGGCAACAATCCTTTTGCTTTTTCTCCCACAGGGTAAACTATATCAATCACTTTTGTCTAAGAGATAAAATTAACGAATTAAAATCATTCCATCTAAAATTTTAATAATTTGAGGGATATGCTAATAAGTATAGATTGAGCCATTATGGCTCAGCAGATACAGCACTCACCCCCTATGAATACCAGAGGGTGAATTCGAAATCTGTTCCTAGCTTACAATAACCAAAGAGCTGCTACTATCTATAATTGCTGTCAACATGTCTGTCTAAATACTTGGGTATGCGGCCCTTCATTGTTCAATCTGCTGTGTATGTGGCCCTTCCCTCAAAAAGGTTGTGCACCCCTATTAAATCTTATTTTATTATACAGCAGTATATTTTGTTATGTTATAGCTTAAATTGCCATCTACACAATTTAATTAGCATATTGTAGATAGTCTCTTTAAATTGCAAAGATTGCCTTTCATAAGGAATATTTCAATGTTTCAAATAAAATTTTCAAAAATAAATCGATAAATTCTTATTTAGGGAAAATTCTATTAATTTCCACTCACTTGCTAAGAAACTAAGAAGAGTCTAACAAAATTCTTTAATTTTTTTGCCCTATAGTTCCTATGAAACAGACTTGCCAGCAATAAGTATCAAAGCTATTAAAATTGAGTGCTACTTTTTTACTTTCAATTCATAAATAATGTTCCTGATCTCTTTAGTAAAATTAAATATATTTTCTTTTGTGGTAAAATTACAGTTTTAAATTTCACATGAGTCATGTCTGTCAGAATTCCTTGTTTGCCAGTCACATATTTTCTTAAAATTTCAAAATAATTCTCTTTTAAATGAATTTTTCTTACATTTTTAATAAAAAAAGGCATTTTCTCTAAATTTTATATCTTAGAATTAAGTCTTGCTTTGTTGAAATGAAATTTTTAAACCTAAATTATGCTTTATTTAATAACAATAGGTCATTAAATAATATATAATTGAGGTGCTAAGACACTCTGGATTCAAGTACATATTTTTTCATATTTATCACAGCATATTTTTATTTCATTAAATTAAACTGTTCTTCGCCTAAAGCAAAGGTTTCAAATTATTTTTGATTGTGGGGTATTTAAGTTGCTATATATCAAAATTGAAGGTAATATTTAGTAGCTAAAATTAGGTGAAAAGTTTTAACGATTTTTTTTTCTTTTTTTTTTTTACGGCAGGCACAGAACTTTTGTTTTACACCTCAGAAGATGCTGTAAGTGTTGCTCCTTTGACGTTACCCATTGAGCACCCGTGAACCTAAGTCACGGAGGCGAGCGACATTACCCACTCCCACAGATATCAGTTTATAGGTTGGATCCCATTCACACATCAGAGAACAGAGAGAGAAACATCCATGCCCTGAGCGGGATTCGAACCTGCAACCATTGACTTCACAGTCAGCGACGCTCACTGACCGGCAAATTTTTAACAATGACATGTCTATCACAAATAGAATTGACCCAGAATGATAAATAAGAAAGAGCTAATAACTAGACTAAAAGTTAAAGATCTTTTTTAGTTTTGTTATTATGTTGCAAACTGCGCAGAGCAACAACACAAGGAAAATATATTTAAACTTACTTTCCATCCTTTGTAAGTTGTGGCTTTTAAAGCTGCAATATCTTTTAAGGAAAGTATAGGTTGATTTAAGTACAGACGACAGCACTGTTGAGCACTTGGCTCCAGAATGTTGGCCGCAGGACCAATAGGGCATGACTAAAAAAGAAGGAAGATTCGAACATTTGCCTGAATATCAAATAAACAGTTAATTTTAATCTAGAAAAATGGATAAAAATGATTCAGTTGATTGCAAAAGATCCTGGATATGGATCTTTAGTTTGTTGTAGTTAACAGCTGTTACAGCAATGATTTAGTCTCACTGCTAAAGAAAGAGTACTATGTACCAAAGTCAAACTTTTTGATGGTTTTCCATTGATGGACCAACATAATCTTGATGGTAATCAACAATTCCATCACGAACCATTATGTTTTTTGATAGTAACCAAGTAACCATCAGTTAGATGTAGGAATTCTGACTGATTCATGATGGCCCAGCATAAGAATAGCAACTTTTTTTTGATGGTTTGTTCATGTTACGCCATCAGAAATTTCCATCATAGTTTCTTAGAAATAAAATGTTTCATTGATCATGAACCACCATCACCCCAATGTAGAAATTCGGACTGATTTATGATAGGCAAAAAAAAACAAATTGTTTTGATGGTATATTACTGAGAACCAACAAGAATTCCCATTAAACCATCTTGGAAATGTATAGTTGAAACCATCACAGATTGTTGGTTCATGAGAGTCAAACTTCTCTTGACGGTTAACCATCATAGTATTAAAACAGCATTTTCGATCATGGAATGATGGAAGTTTATTGGCATATAAAAACCAAGAACATATAATGGAAAATGATGAATGATGGAGACCATCAAATGATGTTGGACCATCATGAATCGCATTGAAACCAACATAAACAATCAAAATTTTTTGATAGTACCATCAAGAATTTTGACTTTGGTATTATTTACATTTACGGGTGTTGTGAACATTGTTAGATATACTCCCTTTGTAATCTTTCCAAGAAAAAAATTTGATGGCCCACTGACCATCACCTTGGCTAGATGGTTTCTCAAAAATAAATCTTTCTATATATGAGAAATTGAAATATTTCTAGAAGGAAAGAATGGTGGACCTGTTATTCACTCCCTATCCCTTCAAAAAAAAATATATATATATATTGTTCCCAATTTTTCCCTGCACAGCAGTGTTTAATTTTACACAAAAATTTCTTTTTACGTCAAGCTTAAGCAAAGATTTTAATGTAGGTAAGAAAGTAGTTATTAAGATTTTGTAAAATATGGCGATAAATTTACACTAGCAAAATTTAATAAATTAGAAGTTTTTTTATATTTTATAGAATTTAATTTTCTGAGTACATTAGTTTAAAATGTTTTAAAAGAGAAAAAATAATCATAAATTTAAAATTAAATTTTTAAACATTTTGTTAGAATAGAGACTTATTGATTTTTTGTTTCTAAAATTTGACATTTTTTGCTTTGTTTATTTTTTAACATTTACTGATTATATTAATATTTTTTGTTCTCATTTTCTGCAGTGTGTCCAAAATGTGCCTAATGGAAATATTAAACAATATTAAAAATTATTAATCCATTTTGTATAAACCTGCTTCATATTTGTGCCAGTGTTGCTCATTATGTTTCTAAATTCAAAAAGAGAATATTGAAACATTTTATTGAGTTTTTTCTATTTCTGTCTTTTATTCATTGCGGTATATAAAGCTCACACAAAATTAGACTATAATTTTTTTTTAAATTTAAAATTTTTCATAATTTAAAAAAAAAAATTACCATTTAAGATTTTTTTAAAGGTCTTATTTTTAATGAAAGCAAAGCAGTTTCAGTAAAGTTTTTGAAAACGTTTCGAATTTTATGTCAGAAAAATATTTTTTCCACATTCAAAATAAAACAAATAGACAACAGGTTTCGAAATTCAGAGGGCAGATTTCCGCATCGTGATCTGTAGAAGAATAATTGCCAAGTCTTGGGAACTTCCCGGAAGCAGCCCGAAAGAAACTTGGAAAAAAAAAAAAAAAAAAACATCACAGAAAGGGACCAACTAGAAGGGTTTAACTCATTGCCACCCTCATACAAACATCTACATGTTTGTTTTTTAATTTCCTGTTTAAAAACAATTTGACACCATATGATCCCTTTTTCTTCCACACCAACTACATCATAGTTGGCATGGCAGATCACATTACAAAAATATCCCCTATCAAGACATATGGGGAGAAAAGACCTACTAGCGACATGACGATTCTTTCTCTGAATGGATCGATGGGTGGATTGGTGACTTGAGCAAAAAGCTGCTTGAAGTAGTCATAGATCAGGGGTTGATAAAGGGAGAGGCATGCAAGAGGGGCATCATTTCCCATAGAGCCGAGAGCTTCTTTTCTAGAATAAAAACAGATCTTTGTTATTCAAACTTTTAAAAAAAACTGTTGGAAAAGTAAAATATATTTAAGAGTATTTCTTTAAGGCCCTGAAATCATAAGTAACAGTGGCTTGCAAACAGGGGTGTGAAGCATTTGAGCCATCTAGTCATAGAGAGGTATCCATTTGATAAATAAGTACACTAAAACTTTTAAATTATTTCTAGATTATTAGTATTATTTTTATTATATTAAATTTTAGCTTAAGAATATTATTTAATGAATATATAATTTTAAAACAAGTTTAACAATAAAGATTTAAGTCATTAAAATGCAAAACTTTTTTTTTCTTGTATTGAAAAAAAATTAAAAGAACTTTTTTTTAGAAATATAATACATTTTTTATCATAAGTCCGGATATTTTCTACATACCATATTTTAAATTCATTAAAATTAATTTAAGGTATGGATTTAAATTTTGATACATATTTATTGTTCCTTTGATTTGATAAGTCCTGGCCAGAGATTATGTTTAATGAATTGAGAATGTGCAACCCGGGAACCCACACATACTTATACATGACACTGCCCATGAAACAATTAATAAGCTATTTAGGGTAAAATCCTAGAATAACCCACCTCTTGGCAAGTTTTTGAAATCTTGCTAAGTTGGACATTATTACTGGGATCAATGTTGCTTTTTGATTACTAAAAAAACAATTTTCAACTTGATTTTCTAACCAGTACCGCACAGAAAAAATTTAAAAATAATGGTAATAAATGAAATAACGGTTAAAAAATGAAATAATAATGATTCTAACAGCAAGAGATTAGCAGCATAAATGGCAAAAAAATAAACCCTTTTACCTCTTTTCTAACGAAATCCAACTTTCCCATAGGTATACACATCAAATAACCAATCAGGTTTAAGAATTTTGGTGGTGTGATTGGACTTTCAACCCAATTTTCGGAAACCCAGTTTAGCGAGATTTCAGAAATTGTTTTGTGAAAATGTGATCTTTATTTAATGCTTAAAAAGCTACTTCAACGCCGCGTTATCTGAGCTAAGAAACAACTGAAAAATATTTAATGATTTTATAAATTCTTATCTAGGTGCTAGATCACCTTGCTAAATCATTTTTAAAAAAAGGTTTAACAATTTTTAAGCGACTAGTTTAGCCATTTATCTATTTAAAAGACCAGTCTACTCTTTTCATCAAACAAGTACAGTGTTGGAAGTTAAGGCTTTTCAATCAAGATTACAAAATAAAAATTAATTTGAGTGCCTTAATTAGTTTTAAATAAACAATAAGGATGCAGACTTACTGAGTGTCCACCATGGGAACGATCAGCATGTTTATGGTCTCAATTGTGTAGGCAAATAGTGCGAGTCTCCTGTCTTCAACTGCAAGGCTCGTAGTTCTCTTGTTGGGATCAAGCTTTGGATGACTAGCATGGTGGCCAGCAGCGAATCCAGCATCATGGAGATCTTCCAAAGTGAACTAAAGAAAATACAGTATATTGTACTGCGGCGTAACTACCACTATAAATATTAAATACCAATTCACAAGTGTATAAGAGATGTTAGCTTGATTCCATCAAGAGGTACCTTTTGAAAGATGAAGGTTGACTTGATTAATTTTAACATACCCCTCAGTACTACAATTAGCATTAGTAGGTCAAATTGTAACTAACTTCCAGTACTTTCTATATTCCCCATCAGGTTTTAAAAAAATTTAAAATCCGCACATCTATATTAAGCTTTAATGGAGATAACTAATTAGACGAATAACATTAGGCTGGTTCTTCTGCCTGTATTTACAAGGTAATGGATTGTTCAGACATAAGAAAAAATTCAGGATTGCTTTCAGAAATGCTGCTAAAGTAAGTTCAATTTTTTTTTTTAAATTTTTATCAGGCATTACAAAAAGGTAGAAATTTTCCTTCCCAACAGTCTAAAGTTGGGTAGGCATAAAGTCACCATATGGGACAGAAGCTGGTACATGAAGATACTTGACATCTAGTCAACAATGTTTGTTTTTTTTAAAAAATGAGTAAATGTGCAAGTTAGTTCAAAGTTTAAAGGTCAAAGTAAAATAAATGTTCAATGTACGAAAAAGAAAGAACACATACCATTTCCTGTAGCCATTTTTCCAGAGGTCGTTTCCTTGAAATTTGAAGTTTTAGATCTTCATCCTTGATGAAAAGATGATTTTCTGTGTCGACTAGAAGCATACGACCAGGCCTCAGTCTACCCTGCAATCACAAAAAGTCGAAAATTTGAAGTAGCTTCAACTTAAACTATATGAAAAACAAAAAGATTTGCTCTTTTGTTTTAGCTGCAAGTTCACACAAATATTCAGGATTATTAGATGAAATATTAATCTTAGTAAAAGAAAATTGCAGTTTAACTAGAAATGCATTTTTAAATGGAAATTTTTTTTAAATTAAATTCAGATAACATTTTACTTAACTACACACCATCCAACCATGGTCAAGCACCTAGTCCCATTTTTAGGGCTCATTTAATTTTCCCTTGTTATCCACAATGGAATGTTGGCAATGTCAGGAGGAAAACAGGTGTCTAGACTACAGGGTGGTCCACTCATCTGTTGCCTTCCTCATTAATCCATGTGCCCTTCCCCTCCAATACCACTAAGGTAGTACCTGGGTGATAAGGCATCTTCTGACTCCCCTTCCAGTTTCAAAATTACTTTTGATTGTACCATGAGATGCTTTTTTTCCCTATGTATTGTTTTTTTTCTCTTCCTCTCACATTCTTTCCAAATGTCTGCGGGAATCTATATTCCTCTAATTCTGCAACACCTGGAATTCTCCTTTCAGTCTCCCAACAATTGGTTCTTAAATTCCTTTTATTTTTCATTTGATAATTTTGTTAAAACTTGTTCCCTAACACTTGGCCCTCTTTATATTTGTTGCAATTTCCTTATTTTCCCCTGTCCTGAATCTGAGTTTCAACACTCAGAAAGGTTCATTATAGAACAGAAATTATAGAGTGCCTTTTTATGAAGAACTATTTGATGGTAAAACACAAATTAAGCCCCCTAACCAATTTTGAGGAAAATTGCAAAGTGGGAGCTAGGGGATAATTCCCAGTCATGTCCAGGCCTAGGGCTCCCTAAATGTTTCAAATAATTTTGTTTGTTTTTCCTTAAGAATTGCCTAATCTAATTATGATTTAACAAAAATTGCAATAAATATAAGCTTAAATTAATTAATAAATCATAATTTACTCATGTTATAAATAATTTAAAGGCACTTCATAAATAAAAAATTAAACATGGCCTAAAGTTGTAACCAGGGTCCACACATCAAAACCCGTCCATAGAAATGGAAAAATGCAAATTTAAGAAAATTGATCACATTTAATAAAGCAGGAATGTTACTCAATTTGATAATTTTGAATTTGAGTTATCACTTCTGAAAGCACTTAAAAAAGAAAAAATTTCAAAACTGCATTTAAAAAAAAACCAGACTTTTAAAGGACATTTGTGACCCTTTTTTCAAAGTTGTAATTTTTCAGATTTTCCTGAGTAGTAGAAACCCTGGGTATGCTCTTGCCACTTTTTAGATCTTTTGTCTTTCTTCACATAGATGACAGAGAATTTTTCACAATATTTATTGTGCTTGTATACCTCTCTCCCATTGAAAAAACTTTGCGTCCCTTAAGTGGCAGACACATTAAGGCTTTTATTCAAGGGGAACAGGAATAACAGAATTGATCCCTTTAAATAGAATATTTCTTACTTAGACATGTCTCTTACAGGTGATACTACTGTACTTAAAAGATCAGGATTGAAAGTAAGCGATTATGGAAATTCTGAAATAGGATTTTTGAGAAGATTCAGATAAACAAGCATCATTCTTATTGAAGCGTAATTCAGATTCAAACTATAAAAAAGTGATACTTTCTCTACACTGAGAATGAAAGTTTTATCACATTCATTATGCCCCTGTGGCAGAATTTTTTTGGGCTTCCTGCGGCAAACCTCTCTAGCACTAATATTCTTCTGCAAGATTCTTTTAATAATAACTAATATTCATGGTGATTAAATTTAAAGTAACAGAAACGTTGTATTTACAAAAAAATAAAAAACCTATTTGGATATAAAATTGTAAGTACTTCTTTTAAAAATGAATATGTAATATTTTTTTAATTCTAATATCATGGACGATATTGTCAATATGAACAATTTATCTTTCATAGTCTTCGTAGAACTTTTCTTATCTTTCATATCATTCTTTCATATCTTTCATAGAACTTTTCATAGTCTTCGGTGCCTTTTTGTAAGAGGAAAACAAGCCAACTATTTATTTTTTTCGCATTTCGTAAATCATCATCACAAAAAAAATAATTAAAAAGAAAAGAAAACATTTTCATTGTTTTTCCAAATAAGAATTAAAAAATCACGAGCATTTCTTCCCCTCTGATGCGTGAAAAAGGCATCTTTTCAATATAGTACTTGTGAAGGAAAAAAATATTTAAAAAATTTCTGCAGAAAAAGAAATTTTTTGCTTCAATATTCTTTATTTTTCTCAAATAAGAATCGAAAAATTACGTACATTTCTTTCCCCTCCGATGCGCAAAAAAGACCACTTTTAAATATAATTTTAGAGAAAAAAAAAATTAGACAGTTTTTGCAGAAAAGAAAACCAAAATTTTTTACTTTTTAAAGAAAAATTCTTTCTGCGTGAACTCTAACGCTCTACGACAATGTCGCCGCAATTCTGCCACGGGGCATTATGCCACCTGAAAAACAGTAAGCCTTATGCTGTAATTTAATAATTTTGGCTCAAAAGTGGTTAGAATATTTGAAGCAACATAAAAAGAACAGTTTAAAAAAACTAGATATTAATTGTAATAAAAATTAAAGTTGTGTAACAAAAAGTTGCGTAGCTTAACCTTTTCGTGTCAGAAATACCTCAGCTAAAAGTTTTTAAAAAAAATACCTTTTGAGCAATGTTGGATAGTTCAACATCCAGTACACCAACTTCACTGGCCATTATCATATGGTTATCTTTTGTTAAGTAGTATCGAGAAGGCCTTAATCCATTTCTGTCCAAAATAGCACCAATTAGTCTACCATCAGTGAATGTCAGTAAAGCTAGCAAAGATAATATAAAACATCCAAAGTTAAGTTTGTCAACAACAATCATTCTCAGTCAAGTTTAATCAACAATATTAATTATTCTCACAATTACGCTTATCAACAATAATTGTTCTCAATTTAAGTTTATCAATGTTAATTATCTATGTTAATTAAGTTTATCAACTACATAAAGCATAATTTTTTTCTAGAATAAAATAGCATTTCAAAAAGAAAAACATTCTAAACAACTTTCAATCTGAAGAAAAGTGCTTTAGTGATTTGATTGGATGTTAAGTGCTTTGAAATACCAAACATACAGATATTGGAGTATTAGGAAGATTAGATAGTATGTATCATCATGCATGTATCATATTGTACTTAACATAGTTAGAAAAAAAATATGTTCATGGAATACAGATTTCCAAGAATTTTTTGAAGAATGTTCAAATAATTCTTAAATTTAATTGAAAATTCTAAAATCCAAACTGAGTCCCTAAAATAAAGTGTTGGACTGAAATTTTAAAATTATTTCCTAAACAACCAAAATATTTAGAATATTAGCTCCAGTTAAATTTAATTACTTAGTTTTAAGTTTTTGATTTGGAAAAATTAAAAGAAAAATGAGGAAAATGAATGAAGGTTTAAAATAAGGGTTGGAAAATAAGGTTCCTTTTTGAAGTAAATATGTTTAAACATTAAATCAACTTTCATGAAACAATATTTTTACCCTTAATGAAAAAATGTTAATGTGAAAATAAATTGCATTAAATGCATAAGGAAAAAAATGAGCAAGGAAATACTGAAATGTGAAATTTCCATGTTGTAATATTGCATCACAAATTAATTAAAATATATCACATTGATTAAATAATTATTTTGTTACAAATCAAAATTCACAGCAAAATTATTTTTTAAAAAAAAAAAGATGAGAGGAAATTCCATTTATCTTGTCAACGATCTTGTTCTTGTGAATGTTTTCCATTTCTTTTAAATGTTTTCTAAATCCTTTGTCAATTTTATACATTTGAGTTTGCTTGTTCATGCCTCAGTCTAGTTGAAGTAATTAGGGAATTTTTTTTAGTAGAAACCCCTCCCATTCTTAAAATACTTGCAAGGTCACTGCATTTACCTGGACCGTCCCATGGTTCCATAACACAGCCACTCCATCGGTAGAATGCTTTCTTATCTGGATGCATTAAATCATCATTTTGCCATGCTTCTGGTACCATTGTCATCACAGCCTGTAAGAAAATTTTTATCAAAATTAAATAGTCCCAGTATTTAAATTTACAAAAAAAAAACTAATAATGTTGAAGATTTTAAGTGCATTGCAATTTGATTATAATGTGTGTTTCTTTGAATAAATTAAAAATAATGGCGGTTAGAATAATCTTAGTACAAATTTATTTATCCTTTATGGTCCAGAAGAATTTCTAGCTTACTTCCTTTAAGGTATAATAATTATAAAATTACAGTTAATTGCTAATAGAACAACAATCAGACAACAAAAAATATGAAGGGGATTTTTGCCACCTTATATAGTTGTTAGATATTAATTTTCAGCCTAATTACATAAAAAATCAAGGCATCACAGACCCATATTTCAGTTGTAAATAAGTATTTTAATTTCTTCTAGTATTTTTAATACGTTTCATAATATTGTGTAGTGGTTAGGTCGCAAGTTAACAAATTTTCCTTTTTAGAAGTAGTTTTAACAGAGCTGCAATGGCTCAAGGGATAGAGTGTCCGCCTTCCAATGAGATGAACTGTGTTCGTATCTCTGCCTGGTCAGTACGAATTCCGCATCCGGCTTGCACCGACCACAGTGCTGACATAAAATATCATTAGTGGTAGACGGATGATGGGTTAGAGTCTCTTTTCCGTCAAGCTAACTGTAGCAGGTCTTCCTCTCCATCTAAGCAAATGAGAGTTAGTTCCATCAAAAAGTTACTAATTGAAAGCATGCATATCAATTTGAGAAATTTGGCTTAACATGCCTATTGCAGAAAGACATTTCATTAACTTTTGTGAATTGAGTCAGCTGTAAAATTATGAAATTCTATGCTCTTATAAACTTTAAGATTTTTGAAATCAAAATTATACTAAGTTTAAGAAAAACTAAGCTATTTTACATGCCTCAAGCAAAGTTAGAGCCCGTATTACAATTCAAAGTTATAACTAGATAGTAAAGTAGTTATTTTAAATGGTAATTACCTCAGGCAGAGTTCTTTCTCCGGCCATAACGAGGAATTCCAGGACATTATCAGCACATCCGGAATCTGAAAGGTTTGGTTCCACAACAGGATACAACTTGTGGAGCTCTTCACCAAACAATTTGCTTTCCATAACACCTTCTCTCGCTCTCATCAAGTTTATATTTCCTCGAAGAGTGTTGATTTCACCATTATGAGCCAACATTCTGCAAAAGTAACAACGCATACATTCCAACTACCAGTTTATAAAACTTCTGAAGAGCTGCACTTATTTTTAAAAGCTGTGCAAATAAAGATCTTGTCCGAGAATGAAACATATAGTTATTGAAAGACTAAGTTGTGCAAGAAAAAGTTAAACAAAAAAAAAAAACAGAAAAAGCTTTACTAAACTTGGACTATTCTTGCTGCATAAAAATCAATTGGTGCAAATATATGCTCCTCTCAGGTGTATAATTATCTGTTTCTACCATTGGTAAACCTTAATTAGAAACCTGATAAATTGAACTAAACTTAGTGGCATGACAGCCCAAAGCCTACTGTGCCCATCTTAGTTTTCTTGACCTTCGCCTCTGGGGTGCAGGAGCAGATGTTTCGGCTGGACGGTCAGCCCAATGTGGAACGTCCAGTGTTTAGTCCTCAAGCATGATCGGTACTCATTCATTTCATCCACTGAACGGATGAAAGGAGGAGTAAACATTGCCCGGCTTGCAGGATCGAACCCAGGACCTGACAAGAGTGAGAAGCACTACCACTCAGAAACCTAATGGGGGGAAATTTAATCACAAAGTTCCATCTGGATGCTGTGAAAATGACACTTAATGAGCTAGAAAATGTCTTAAGTTATTAACTACTAGCTTTTCTACAGCTAAGAACCTCTTTGAATTAATACAGGCTGAAAAATAATCTGCATTATATATATGCTTAAAGCATATTGTATTTGAATATGAAACATTAAGTACAAAAATGTTTCAATTTTTTGAATTTGTTTTTATGACTTAAGATTAAAATAATGCTAAATGACGTTTAGCAATCAATAATTGTGTTATTAGATCTTAATAAATGGTTGATAAGTTTATTAAATGGAGATACAATTGATTTTTTTTTTTCAGCTGTGACCAGAGAATATAATATTTGCTTGTGTCCATTTAAAACCAAATCAAATATTTTTTGAGAAAAAAAGCTTAATTGAACTTTATAGAGCTTTAATTAAGTAGAAGTTTGTGCTTAAAATCACATTAAGCTTAAGATATACTTCAACTTTATATAAATTTTACTCTAAAAAAATCTTGAAAGTTTCTTATTATATAATATCCTTCTTTTCTGTTTCTTCTTATTCACTAACTATGTTATTAGATTAATGCTTCAATTATAAACTTTATTTGAAAATGTCATTATGCGATTTTTTATTTTGGTGGTTTTGCGGGTAAAGCCCGTTAGACAATGTCAACCTTCATCTATCAAAAGGTACCTGAAGATTGAATCAAGTTAGCATGTCTTATATACTAGTGAATTGATGCTTAATCATAGATAAATTGATGTTTAATCATAGATAAATTGATGTAATAATCATAGATAAATTGATGTAATAATCATAGTGGTAGTTATGCCACAGTTTCATATCCAACAAATTGTAAATTGTATTTCTCAGAGAGAATGTTCACATTTTAAGCAATAAATTTATGTTAGTAATTCAACTAAATTGGCATACTACCAATGAGGAAGTTATTTCTTATGCACTATAAAAGAAAGATATGCCACATTCAATGAAATTTAGTTAGTCTTAAGGAATTCCCTTATTTTTTGAGATAGTTCAAAATTACAATTGATAATATTGATAGCTACATATTAGAAAAGGATCAACAGTTTAAAGTCAATTATAAAGTTAAATATTTTATTACTATAGGTGTCTCAAACATAAATGTCAATTTTAAAAATAGAATAAATTGAATGAAAAATATACAGTTTGCTGTTTTCTACTTATGAAACTAGATTTATTCTCATCCAAACATCAAAAATTCATCGACTGATAGTGAATTTAATTGAGAAAAACAATAGTTTCAAAATAATCACCTTTTTTTCACAATAATCACAAAATTTCATAACAATGTGGAGCAGTTTGAAAACTAATTTAACAAACAATTGTACGGACATTTAAGTTAAAATAACTAGCCAAGCAGAAACATTGATTTTCGTTTTTTGATCCAAAAAGACCATCTCATGAAGAATTTTGTTACTTCTTTTGAAATTTCAGGAGAACTGAAAACTCGTTTCCTAAACAAAATGCAGCGAACTGTATATTTCTGTCTAAGACTTTATTTGTTTAGACAATTTTGGGACTCCAGTTGGACATAGGTACCAATTAAAATCGGAAAATGTGAGTTTTCTACATACCTCATTGGGTGAGCTCTCTCCCAACTGGGAAAGGTGTTTGTTGAGAATCTGGCATGAACTAAAGCTAAATAAGTCTCAAAAGATGGATGCTGCAGGTCATGGAAATAATCCCACAGTTGAGTGGATGTCAACTGACCCTAAGACAACAACAACTTTTTTTTAACACAACTTATTAATTATAATAATTCACATAAAGCTGGAAAATGCTATACTGAACTTTAGTTACTCTTGGTAAATGGAAAAGGTCACAAGGTTAAGCGATTTCCCAACTCTCCACACTTTTCCCCTCTCTGCTACCATGGTCACTGACAATCTTGCTTTTTCTCTCACTCCAATATGCTTCATATTACTGAAACATACTGCTGTAAGTAAGAAACTAGATTCTAGATTTACCGTAACCAAGGTAACAAAGAGAGGAAATTTAAAGAGGGGGGAAATCTCATGACCTTAACCTTGAGACCCATATTCCATTGAGAGGATGTATAGTTGTTTCAGAACTTTACATTTTATTTCTATTAACACTAGAAAGACTGAAACTTAGTATATACCTATATTGCCCAAAAGCAATCAAAATGACTTGATTGTGAAAGAATAACTAATGTGTAAAGAAATTTGTTTAATTAATTTTTAATGTTTTTTATATTATTTACAGTTATATAAGTTATTAGTAAATATTAACAATAAAAAAATTTACTTCACTTGGAAAGAAAATATTAATTTATACATTATTATTTGCACATTTTTTGCAAATGAAAAAGCAGTCAAAACGACCTCCTTTAGGCAACCCAATGTTAATTAGAAAGTTTAGGATTAGTCTGCAATATCCATTCATAACATAATTGTAGATGAGATATTTTTTATTCATCTTAGCAGGTGAATATTCTGTAACATTTTAAATTTAGAAAAATAAAGAGCAGTTGTAAATATCTAACTATAATTTAATATTTACAAGGAGAGTTTATTAATTTCAAATTTTACCTCAAATTTTAGAAATAAAGGAATTATATATCTTTGGCATAAGTAGCATTGAGGTCACAGGAGGAGCCATGTGCTCCTATGCAAACCAATAGTTTTCCAAAACTTTAGAATTTTTAATTTAAAAGTAAATACTTTAAAAATAAAATTTTTAAAATTACAAATTTTAGATTATATATTTAACGAAATAATTTTATAATTATTTACATTTCCTTATTGTGAGAATTTTTTTAGCATAGTTTTAAATTCATATTCTGATTTATATTAATGTAAATTCTTAACAGAATTTGAGAAACTATGCTTAATATTGTTTTAATTATTAACTAATTCCATTTCATGTGAAATATCATATATATAGTTAGTCACCTTCAAATGTAACAAAAATCTTTGACATGTTTCAATGGTGTTGAGTACGGCAAGAAATATACCCTGTTTCTTCCACTCCTATATTTTATTAAACAAAAAATTCTTTAAAAAAAATACAAAATTTCAACATATTTCTAAAACATAAACTAGAGTTCCATGTTTTAGAAATATGTTGAAATTTTGTATTTTCTTTTAAGAATTTTTTGTTTAATAAAATATAGGAGTGGAAGAAATAGGGTATATTTCTTGCCGTACTCAACAAATGGAATGCATTTAACTATTTCATTTGGTTAGCTTCATTAACCTATCATATGAACACAATCTACATTTTATAAATCCATGGATTTTTAGGGTAAATTCAGCTAAATTATCAAAATTAATGTGGACAAATTTGGCCAATCAAAAGCCTGTATTTTTACATATGGCAAAATGAGATATGTTCGCAAAAATACAGGCTGCTAGTTAGCTGAATTTGGTAGCGCTTCACGCTCCCATGCCACGGGTCCTGGGTTCGATCCTCGGGCCGGGCAAGGTTGACTCAGCCTTTCATCTCTTCAGTGGGTCGATAAATGAGTACCAAGCATGCTTGGGAACTAAACACTGGGGGTTCCGTGCTCGGCTGACCACCTGACCGGAACATCTGCTCTTGCACCCCAGAGCCCAAGGTCAAGAAAACTGAGATGGGCACAGTAGGCCTTGGCTTTCTATGGGCTGTCGTGTCACTGAGTTTAGTTTAGTTAGCTTAATTTAGCTATCGTAATTTTTAAAATTCAGCCCTAATGTCAGCAATTTTTCGCTGCTTGATAGTTAACTTTTAATTTTTTGCTGCAACAAAGTTAACAATCAGAAAGCTGCATTCGGTATGATGGACATAGAATTGTCAGAAAATCAATAAAATGGACAGAACGATATTACCCCTGACCATTGGAGAAGGTGGGGTGAACTTTATAGGTATTTTATGTTTCAGTCAACTTTCTTGTTATCTATAATTAGGTGAAAAATTTAAATACCTCCACAATGTTAGGTTCTTCATTACTGAAGCAGATGGGGGCCCCCCCCAAAAAGTTTTTGCCCCGGGCCCCAATTAGGCTAAGTCGGGCCCTGAGCAACATTACTCCACCTGTAGCTATTTAGGAGAAACTAATTACACAATTTACAAATAGACATTATAAAAAAAATAAAAATAACTCACTTTATAAACAACAGTTTCTGTTGATAAGCTGCAAATGTAAAAGCGAAGGTCTGAGGTGGGAATTTTATGTGTTGCATATTTTCGCAGCACAAAAACCTAAGAGAAAAAGCAACCATAAATAATCAAACCTAATTATAAATATTCATTAATAAGAACAAAAGAATGTTTAATTTCCTCCCAAAAACTATACTAATTATTACATTTTAACTAACTCAATTTTATGTCTGAGTGGAATTTAACATTAACCACTCATTGAATATTTGCAAATTGGAAGGGGGAAAAAAAAAGATTCTAAACTGAAACACAAATTTTTAAATTAGAGTACCTTTTTGCAAACTATCTGTATGTAAACTATAAATGAAAAGTAAAAATTCAGGGATAAAGTATTTTTAAAATTTTAAAAAATTGTTTCAACATTTGAAAAAGTTGCCGATTGAGGAACGTATTTTAACACCTAAAAAAAAACTATTTTTATCATTGTCAACAAGGTAGTCATGGTTAATATTTTCAAAATTTAAAAAAGTTATTCACAAATTATTTTTTTTTAAGAATGTTACTCAATAGTAATAAAATTAAACAAATATTCGAAAAACAGGATTAATTGTAAAAAATAATTTTCAGAGTTTGTTATAGGGAATATATATTATTGGAATCATTATTCTATTATGCCAAAGTTTTACTAAGAAATATTTATACATGAAATAATGTTTCATGTATAAATATTTTTTACATGAAATATTATATTTAAAATATTAAAATGTATATTAATATACATTTATATTAATATACATGAAATACATTTAAAATTATATCCCATGAAGCACCATGCTCTAGCTGAACTTTTGTTAGTTGTCAGTAAACGATTTTAAATCATGATTACATAATTTCTTTTACAAATGATGCCATGCTAATGATTTGTCTGTGTTTTCCTCCCATTTGGTTGACAAAAATAGTCCAATATAAAAAAATTATGTAAATCCATTCAATTGAAAAATATCGCGATATATCGAGAAATGCCGATATTTTTTAACGATATATCGCGATATTAATAATTCGCATAACACACAGCACTGATGACCCTATGTGCAATCTTGTTTTAATGATAGAAATGGATCGGAATCAGTTTTATTTTCTATAAGATTACTGCATATGTTTATCTTAATTCCAAGTTAATATTTTCTATAGATTTCACTGATGTCAAAAAATAATTTCTGGAGAAAAAATATGAGGAAAAAATGGGCTCCTTAAATTAATATTTACTTTTTTTTTTTTTTTTTTTTCAAAGTACAATATTGTCTCAAGAAGAAATAAGATTGTTCATTTTGAAAAGTAATCCAAAATTTTAGGAAGTTTCGTTTGCAATGGGCTTCGAAGTATCAAAGGGCAGAAATAGCAAAAAAATTACAAAAATGGCCCTAAAATAAAACTGAAAAAAATAGTTAAAATTCGAATTAAATAAAAAAATCGACCGTAATTTGTTTACAATTGTATTGATATAGCTTCTTGTTAAATGCCTTATTTTGAGTGCCTAATATGGTATGCAGGCATATACATACAGACTCTTCATTTTATTATAAATTAGTTTTCATAAGCCTCTCTCCTTTCAGAAGTAAAAATTAAATATCAATTTTAATTTTTATCCTTAGTAGTAACATAGCTTCGGATTTTCTAAAGAAACTCATTTGAGCTGATGAATGTTAACATATAAAAAGCAGTGGAAATTGAAAAGAAAAAAAAAATCGTTTGACAATTGTATTAGCTTGACAGCTTGAAATTAGCCCACTATGATTGAAATTGAGTTAAGGACCTCATTACTGATCCCGAAACCTATGTGGCTATGTATCTTTAATAATTAAATAGATGAGCATGATCTAAAACAAGGAACACATTCCTCTATGTTACAACCTGACGAGATACAGAAACCCAAAAACAGTTAATACAAAGTTACAGTTAATATAGCTGATGCCACAACTTTAAAACAGAAATCTAAGTTTCAGAAGAGTAGGAGGAAAAAATGTTTACAGTTAAAATTAAGTTGAAAAATAAAATTAAAAGAAATAAGAAAATTAATCATGGTACCGAGGAGAGTCACAACTCTTCAACTTCTTGCATTGAATTATTATAACAGCGCCATGGAAGAACTAGCTTCAATATAAATGACTAAATTCGAAACTGGTTAGGAATTCATCTAATGTAACTGGATAAATTTACACTCTTTAAATGTTAAGGAAGGATCGTATGGTATGGTTACAAGGCAGATTAAGATTTGATAAACTTACTTCTCTGCGGAATGTGGATGGATCCATGTTAGGTGCGACGATGAATGCCTGCCTCATAAGGGGTTCATTGGCTTTGGCGACGTAGCCCAAGATTGAACTGTTGACTGGAACGTCACGCCAGCAAAGAACCTATTCAAACAATGACACTCTTAAGTACCTGGAAACCCCGATCAGAAGTTATAGGAAAATAATAGAGAGACCTACCTCCAAGTGAAGCTCTTTGGCTAAGTTTTCAAAGGATTTTTCTGCCGCTTGGGATGTGCTGTGGTCAAGGAACATGATACCCGTCGCGTATTTTCCTTTTGGAGGAAGTGTGATACCTACGTCTTTCCTACACAAAAGATTTACAAATGACACCTTGAAATATAAATCAAGGAAGTAATAGTAGGAATTGGAAGAAAAAAATCTCAATTGTTAAGCGAATGTAGATAAAATGAAAGACAATTAAGCGAAAGCAAAAGAATAATTATTTCTGGAAATACTCACATGAGGATGTGGGAGTAAAAGGAGTGGGGTATGGCAGCCGTGACCCCAGCCCCATCTCCAGTACTGTTGTCACAGGCACAAGCACCGCGGTGCTCCATCCGCTTTGAAATGGTCGCTGCATCAGTGATCAGCTGTTTAAGAGAACAGTTCGTTAATGCATGTTTTATAGTCAAAATAAATTATGCAGACTGTCAAACATACGAGGATAACACATTCTCAAATTAATAATTTTATTTTATCCCCACCGTTAAAAAGACTATCAGATTTGCGGCTATATTGATGTTCAACTTCGTAACCCTGTTATTATGAGCAGAGCTCAGAAGACGAGGGAACTAGTAAATCAAGCATTAGGATAAACTTGGCAGAAACTTTTTCACTTAACTATTCGCGATCACAACGTTCGAATAAGTCATCTGGGGAGAAGATTAGTTCCATGGCTTGACCCTTCCCTTCCTCCTCCTCCTCCTATTCTAAGTTGTATAGGAATGTTCCATGATATTTTCCCCTTTCTTAATATTTTTCGTATTTAACTGTCAATTTTTTTTAAAAATATTTCCATGATGCTTTGCTTTAGATTTATGTTCAATGTAGCAATTCAGTTTCATATAGTTTACTAACTTCAGTTTTTAATCAAGACAAAAAAAAATCAAAACAGAAACTGGTGTACTTCCTTCTCCTATGACTCTCCACACGCTAATGGTCAAAGCATGCGAAATGTTGCCATAGAGAATTCTGCTCCACGCCACCTGTAACCCATTTCGATCGCCAATACTGTTACATGGTGAGGAAAACTACCAAAAATTATTTCTCCGGTTAGTCCTACTGTAAGGCGATTTTAAGCCGTCACCATGATCCGTCACACACTTTATTTTTTCTTTTTAAGACTGCACTATAGCAGACTACAAATCGAACCCGAGTCCCCTCTTATTAGAAGACAATCGCTCAACACCATGACAGGGTGCGTAGCCAAATCTCTGTACAAAAAATAAGCACCTTTTAAGTACCTTTTAAGCACTCAAAAATATTTCTTAAGCACTATATACATCAACAAAATGCAAAATAATTTTCAAAGACTTTATATGATCATGATAAAATAACTAGTTTCTGACAAAGAACTCTTTTCTTGATTATATTAGCCATTATAAAATGATCAAGAGATTTTTCGGTTCGATATCAGAGGGTGGAATTGAGAATATCTTGCAAAATGCAGCAGAGTTGCACATGAGAGTGCAATAATCTCACCGAATCCAAGTCGAGGGACGCACATGCGAAGTCGCAAGTATTTCATCAAACATTTAAAATGATTGGCGCTTTCATACGCTATGGACCGACGGTACACCGAAATACGTAGATAGTGGTTGAATGAATTGTAAAAACATTGAATAGAAAACAATGTGAAAAGCACGCTTTTGCATAATACGAGGCAAAAATCGACATGGTAAAGAAAAAACTAATTTTTGAAAAGGGCACTTTTAAAAACACCCAAGCTCTTTTTTTAAAAAACAAGCACTTTTAAAAATGGTTAATTATTGTTGAGGTCGGAAATTTTTTTTTTATTAGGTGGATCTGAAATTCAACTACTGCCTTTAATCTTAATCTTCGAATCAGATTTTAATCCTTATTTTTTTTCTGATCGCAATTGTCAATGATCAGAATATTGCTGTTATCATTTGAATTTTAAATCTCTAATGTGGTTATATTTTGAGGTAGTTTTTTTTTTTTTACAAGGAATCTAAAAGACGAATACTAAGGCCAGAAATGACGCGATACTCTGCAAGTCAATTATTTTCTTTATAAAATAAATTGAACTGAAATTAAAAAAAAAATAAAAAAAAGGGATGAAACTAACTTTGTGTGAAGCTATGCCGTTGATGTTGACGATGAAACCGACCCCGCAAGCCTCCTTCTCATTGTTCGGATGATAGAGACCCTTAGGGGGTGGTAGGCCCTGGTATTCGATGGTAGGTTTTTGACCACCCTCCATTCCTCGACTTTGGATTCTAGAGGGATGAGGCACTATTACCTGAAACACAAAAAAGAACATACAGTTGACAGAACTAAAAGTTAAAGCTCATTAAAATTTTTATTTTACAAAATTTTTTTTCTTGAGTGTTGTTGTAGTTCAATTACGTAGATCTGCTCAATGGGCTATTGGCGACGGTCAGGGAAACATCCTTTAGGATGATCCGAAGACATGCCATCACAATCTTGATCCTCTGCAGAAGGAACGGCACCCCAGCTTCTGTAGTCCGACGAACTGCAAGCGAAGTCTAGCACTTTACGGTAGAACAATTTAACGAGTACCCATACCGCACACCCTCGGTCCCTTCGCAGACTATTCAAACAACTTCAAGTTTTTTTGTGGAAAATATTGACGGTTAAAAAAAATGATAAAGACGCAGTTACGAGGGTTGGCAAGCGGAGCAAGCAGGGCGGAGCATGTGAGATTTTTCACAAAATATACCAAACTATGTAGATCGATGTTTAGATATTTATTTCAGTCGCTTCTAATAATATAGATAATTGTAATGATTCATTACTATTATTAGTTGATTATAACTAGCTTATAATCATTTATTGAAACATATTGGTCAATATAACTATTGATATATTGATCAACTAGTACTTTTTTCGAGGAATCAAGAACATTTTTGAAATTTCTTCGTAAAATAACTTCCAAATAACGATGTGAATTTTCTATTTAACGAGCTTTTCTTTGAGATCCGCTTTCCCTATTTCCCAAAATACTTCAGAACATTTCAAACTTGTTAACGCATTTTGTGGGAGAAATAACCCTGAATTGATTTTCGAAGACATTTAACTTTTGGAGAAAGCAGTGAAATCCCTTTCCCTCTTTGCTTGCATTTCAAACTAAAACCTCAGACAAAATTAATGTATTTTAACAGTAGCAATTAAACTTAACACACGCGGTAATGTATATTTAAAATTACTTTTATAACAAATGCAGCTAGAATTTTTTTGAACTTGAATTAAGCTTTTTTAGTTGAAAATGTATGTAGTATAATAGTGTAACACTGGATAATGTTTTACTCTATTCTTGCTTTTCCATGCAGATTTCTTTTTTGGTTAAGATTTATAAAATAAATAGTAAATACTAGTTTGCAAAATAAAGATGTATCAATTGATATCTTAATTATGCCTAGCGTTTATGAATTCAAAACATGTTTTGTGTTTAAGTAATTCAAAATGTGATTTCCTATTTAACGAAATTTCCCTATAACGAACTTATTATCTGTATTTAACGACTTCGTTGAATAGAGGTCCGACTGTAATTGATAATTTGTATTTGTAAGGAATACGTATCTTAAAGAACCTTAAGTGGTCGTCTTAAGCTCGCTTTCTGGATCGATAAGTACTAAAAATTTTAAATCCCTGTGTTAGGAGATTCCATAAGAACGGAAGTGACGCAATAAATTAAACTTACGTCAGTTGCAAGCAAAGAACGAAAAACAACTCTGGAAAAGGAAGAAAAATTGGACAAATAATAAGCTACGAGATCGATGATGATTGTTTGCAGTCTGTTTAATCCATTGTCCGTCAATACACAAAAGGTTATGTAAGCAATGAAGAGTGATTAATTTATGAACTACTGTTTCAAACTTCATTGAATGTTAAAGGTTGTGCGAATGTTATTTTTTTTTCCTTTGGAATAAGCCACCAACTACCCGAAGAATGAAATCTGAATTATAAAAATATTTTAGGTCTAATCCACGTAACCGAAATTAATCCATTTATCGGAGCTTAATTCACTGAAAAACGTAAATGATTAGAAAGGTAATTAGCAAGGGCGAGGCGATAAAATTGAGGGGATTAGTCATAATTACTAATGCATACCACAACTCCATTAGGGAGCCTACATCTCTAAAAATTTCTACAGGTGTATACTTAATTAGCTTACTTTCCAAACTTGTTACGTTGTTGAATTTTCATAAGCTGCAGAGAACCCATTTTCCTTTTTTGAGAGGGAATGCGCTAAGGGTGGCTGGATTTAAATCCCGTTATTTTTTTTAATAGATTTAAAGCAGCCATTTTTTTTATTTTAAAAAAAAATCAAGTCAAAAATATTTTTTTCTCTGATAATCTATAAATATTTCCGTCGCAAATTCCCTTTCTCCTTCATTGCTAATTTAAAATTTAAGAAAAAGAATAAGTAAATTCAAGCAAACCTAAAGTAAGTCCATAAAGTTTCAATTGAAGGAAGAAAAAAAAAATACTTCAACATATTAAAATGCAAACAAGTTATTAGAAGAGCAACTTCACCGTTGTGTAGTCCTAAGTTATGTTCTCGTAATTTATTTTCATTTGTATGTTTTAAAACTTTGTTCTCAGTATTTGAACTTCACGGATTACTCTAGATTCGTCAGAACTCAAATTTTTCTACTTGTTCAAATTTTAAATTAATAATAAAGGAGAAAGAGAATTTGCGAGGAAAATTTTCTTCCGCTGTATGGCGTCCTCTAAATCATCGGGTAACATAAATGAATACCCAGCTTATACGAATAAAACCTTCCGAAACCGAACATTTCCCTATGGATGTAATGTGTCCTATAGAAGTTAAGTCGTGCACTTTACGGTAGAACAGTTTAACGAGGACCAACACCGCACACCCTCGGTCCCTATGCAGACTAGCGTGGTCACCCACCCGCACACTGACAGCAGCCAGTGATGCTTGACTTCGGTGATCTGCAGGGAATCGTGTCTTAAGGATCGGGAAATCGAAAATAAGCACCTTTAAGCACTTTTTAAAAACGCTACAAGCCATGTTAACGCTTCAATTATTGATGTTGTTAATTTACGTCGCACTAGAGCTGCACAATGGACTATTGGCGACGGTCTGGGAAACATCCCGGAGGATGATCCGAAGACATGCCATCACAATTTTGATCCTCTGCGGAGGGGATGGCACCCCCGCTTCGGTAGCCCGACGACCTGCGCGCGAAGTGGAGCACTTTACGGTAGCACAGTTTAACGAGGACCCATACCGCACACCCTCGGTCCCTACGCAGACTGATCCAAGTGGTTACCCACCCGCACACTGTCCGCAGTCAGTGATGCTTGACTTCGGTGATCTGCTGGGAACCGTGTCTTAACGATCAGTCCACTGCGGGACCTTCAATTATTGAATTGGAAGAGTTACTTTTGAGTAATTTCAGTTTTCAAATACGTCCAAAATAACAGCAATATAGAGAGCCACGCGACAAACAACCGGTAACATGAAACAAGTAAATAATTACCCATTAAATTACTTTCATCTGTAACCATTAAATGCTTAAAGCATGGCCATGAATAAACTTAAAATGCCATTATTTCAATATTTTTGCCCCCCATCCTAGTTACACTTCATTAAATAGGCATATACTAGCAGTCAGAAACAAAGCACATTTTATAGATCATATTTCAAAATTGAATTTTAAGCTTTAGACATTTATAAGCGTATAATTTTAATGACAGTTGTAAGCGTAACGACTATAATGCTTTAAATGTGTATTTATTTCGATTAAAAATATTAAAAGAATATAAAGACTAGTTTTATAAAAGAATTTTATCAGCTTATTTTTAAAGTTTTAATTAACTTAAGTGTCTGCTGTTTTTCTCCTGTCGTAAACTATCACAATTTTAAGACCCCCTCCCCCCACTTGCTCCAATAAGTGTGCCATCTTCTTTAAACTTTCGCTCAACGACCTCAAAAGATGATAAAATACGGGTAGGCGGAAATTAAAGAGACGGTATGCAGATTTATGCATGCTTGTCTCTAAGTATAGAAAAAGTTCGAATAATTTATAATTTCTGGCAATAAACTATATTATATTCCATACAAACACTATATTGAAAACTATAATACATTCACGAAATTCCATTTTTTTTTTTAAATTAGAGATGTTTGCTTAAAAATATTCACATTAAAAAGATTTAATAAAAATATAACAATTTAGGTAACAAATTCTTTTGCAAATAATATGTACCGATTTTTGCACGAATTTAAAGGCAATTGAGGAGAGGAAAAGTTTAACTCTATTTTGAATCTGATTTTTTATTTTTAGGTAGGTCAAAAATTTCTTCCTTATTATTATTTCAAGCTGTTACCCCAGATAAAAGCATCCAAAAATAAAAATAAAAATTCTCGTCCTAGGGAAAATAAACTCCCCATATTTTGAAATATATTTAAAATTTCAAAAACCAACCTATAAATTTGAGAAAAATAAAAATGACTATTTACTATGAATGTCGTTATTAAATGTTAACAATTTTTTTTAGATTTTATTACCGTCATTGAACAGCGGACCCAATTTTTCGGGTTTACCACTACTAATGTTCAACTACGTAGCCTTGTAATTTTGAACACAATCCAGAAGACAAGGAATCCTGGATCAAGTATTCGGAGAAATTTGCCTTCGCGGAGGACTTTTTGATGGAACAACCCCGCATTTGCGTTACATGGAGCTGGAAACCACGAGAACCTCCCACGGTTAGACTGATGGCAAGGAGACTAACCCATGATCCGTCTACCACTGAGGATATTTCACGTCAGCACTGTGGTCGGTGCAAGCCGAATGCGGAATTTGTATCGACCAGCCATCGCTGGGATTCGAACCCGGTTCACCTCATTGGAAGGCGAAAGCTCAATCCCCTGAGCCATTGCTGCTCTAGCAGCAATTTTTGTAACTTTTTAACTCAAGATCTTCTGAACTTAATCCGGTTTTGACAAACGGTTGAACTTCTTACATCAATTTTTGAAAGGGAACGCAATCCCGCAGAAGAAACTTTTCATGGCAATTTTGTATTACCTTTACTACTATTTGAGAGCCGTGATGGCTCAGGAGATAGAGTTTACCTTACAATAGGGGTGCTCAACCTGCGGCCCGCCAACCCTTAATGGGCGGCCCGCGGCCGCAATCTGAACAAAATGAAAAAAAAATTTTAATATTTACTTTTGAAAAATAATAAAAAAATTCGGTAATTTAAATTTACACTTTTAAGTTTTTGACGCACCCAATCTCAATC